CGTGTACATATGTTGCCATCATTTTCTAAACATTTATTTGAGCCCTTGGTATCAGCTCCTTTCTCTCTGCCCCCCCCCAATCAGAATACATTTAATAAAAACAAACACACACACTGAGGGTCGAACCATCACTACAGGTGAGCCAGGAATTGGGTAGGGGGTGTCACCGGGAGCCAGCTGGCCCATAGTCCTATAGGGCTCAGGTTCCTTAAGGGGAGGAGGGCATCTAAAATTCGAGCAGGCAGCATCGATTAAGGGTATGGAACACGTGGGGTTACGGGAAAATCCCTTTCAACAAACACCTACTGCCCAAGCCAGCAGCCCCAGTTGTCGCCCAACTCAAGCCCGGTGCCGCCCCCACTGGCATCTGCTCCCCATCCTCATGACTCCCTGGGTCCCCAAAAACCACACGGAGACCAGTGCAAGTGGCCGAGGCCAGCGTGATGCGCTAAGTGGGTAGCAACCGGCGTGGGCTCAGCCGGAGCAGTGGGGACAGCGTGTAGCGCAGGCGGCGGAGCCCGGCGGCCGAACGCAGGCGTGGGAGTCCTCGGCAGAGCGCTGCAGCGTTCACCAGCAGCAAGTAGAGGAGTGGCAGCGCCAGGAAGCCAAACGGGAGCAGCAGCAGCATCTGCAGCACGCCCAGTGCCCACAGCCTGCAATAGACGGCGGGCCACGAGTGGCTGCAGCTGCGTCGTCCGGACTACCCGCCCGCGCGCGCTTGCCCGCCGCCAGCCTGGGGCGCTCACCTGATGCCCATGGCGCCCAGCAAGCGCGTCTCCTGCAGGGATAGGGAGCGGGCGTCCAGCGCGGCGCCCAGGCTCCGAGAGATGGGGGGTACGGGGCTCTGACCCCCACCGAGGAGCCGGGAAGGGGCGCGGAGCGACGTCCGCGGAAGAGGGTCCCCCGTGGGAGGTGGGCCACCTTTGGCAGTGGGTCCCCCGGGGGCAGTGGGTTTCTCCCAGGGTCGGGGTGCCTCGTATGGGGGGCAAAGGGGTCTACCCTAGGGACGGGTCGCATTCACCCCGCCCCGCCTGGGCCCGCGCTCACACAGTCGGCCTTGGCCACCTCCTCCATGAGCGAGCCAGCGCCGTGCTGCCCCCGGTGGAGCTTCGAGTCCCACCTAGGGAGAATGGCGCCTGGGTCGGCATTCCGCTAGGCCCCCACCGTCCCGCCGCACCTCACTTCCAGCCTCCTTACGGTTCCAGGCCGCCCCGGGAGGCGTCCAGCACAGCCGCTGCCTCCATCACCTTCCCCTGCAGCTCCTGGGAGGTCGGGGAGGGAAGGCCTCAGCGCCGGAGAAGGGGGCGGCAGAGACCGCCGTGGAGTCAGAGGAGAGTGCCTATAGGAGCCGAGGGGGTGCGGCACCTGCAGAACCATGCTCTGCTCCTGGAAGCTGGCCCAGGCCTCCTCCGTCCGCCACGTGCTCTGAGGGGCGGGGTCCGGATCAGACGAGGCAGACGCTTGCGCCCCACACGGGCTCCACCCACACCCAAGGCCGACTCGGTCCGCACCTGGCGTAAACCCTCCGCCTGCACCGCCTGCTTCGCTTCCACCAGTTCCAGCTGTTTCTTCCAGGGGAGCCCAGAAATGTCAGGGTCATACACCCACCCCGCCCCCTAGGCCAGGCGGCGGCAAGCCCGCCTCCTCGCCCCGCCCCTGGTTCGGCTTAGCCCCACCTACGGGCCGCATGGCCCCGCCTCTCCAAACCCGCCCTCCACGAGACCCAGCCCTTTCCTCTGTGCTTAGCCCGGCCCCAAACAGCCAGGGCCTGCCCCTATCTCAGACTAGCCCCACCC